CCCCCCAGTCGCACTGTCCATTCAGACGAAGCTAGAAGTCAGCAGCAGAAGAATCACACACAGCAATTAAAAAAACGAAGAGCTTTCTGGCTCAGTAAACCCAGGTTCAGCCACTGCAGAAGCACAGCATTCAGTACAACTGCCTTTGCTAAAGGAAAATCCAGCACTTATCTGTTGCGTATCTGTACAAACCAAAAAATGAAGACTTTAATTTCAAAAAACTGTCTTTGGAAATTGTTTTTAAAAAAAATCTCAACTGGAGTAAGCTTAGAATAATTTAACATGCAGCTGGTAATTTGACAAGCTGCTTTTAAAGTCAGATACAGGGAAAAAGCCTTCCATCGGAGCGCTGAAGCCTGTTACAAAGCTACAAGTGATCTCCACGAACGGACAGAAACTCGCTCCACTGTGCATTGACTTGGCCACCTGAAAACATGGCCTTCCCCTCTGGCCACCGCCAGCTCTGCAGGCGCTCAGCGCTGGCCTCGGCCGGGTCCCAGCTCTGGGACTGCTGCTGGGGACTCTGACAGGGACATCAGCGTTGGTGAGCGGGGGACGCGGCCAGGCTGCTGCCCACGTACCCCCAGCCGCAGCCCCGCGTCCAGGAACCCACCGTGCCCTCCCAGCCCCGCTCCACTAACTGACCGGCTGACGGCAGAACTGCCAGCCACAGCTCCTCAGGACTGGAAATCTGTGAGGCTGAAGGTCTTCCTGAGATGCCCCAGCACTTGGCAGGCCGATGGGCAGCACCTCCCCGCTCCCTCTGCCCCGGGCAGGGCCAGGCACGGCAGAACGCTCCGGTTTTCCTTTAGCAAAGCTTTCACCGCGGCACTGCAACGACACAGCTCGCGCACGTAACCTGGCGCGGCGGAGGGACACAAGCGCTCACACAGCTGCGCAGAAGCATGACAGACAGACAGAAGGGAGCTGCTTGAAGAGGAAAGATTAAATACCTACCCTAGCCTTAAAACAGAAGCAGCGTAAGTGAGCTCAAATGATAACAGGAGAGGCCTCAGAGACGGGAGGAGTCGCTCCTGTCTCTAGAACACTTCTCTCCTCCTCGGTTACCGCTCACGTCTTACAGTGATGGGGAGAGATTGTGCTAATGGCGGGCTTTAATGTCAGTGACTGATGGGACAGCAAAGTAACCAAGGATGGGCATGAGACAGCAGGCTCCTGGGGGCAGGGGCTCCCTCTGAGCTCGGCACAAGAAGCTGAGCCCGTTTCAGGGGAAGGGTGCCAGGCAGGGCATTAGTGACATGGCTCGGCGTGCACCGTGCCCACACCACAGGGCCATCTGCCTGCCGGGGCTGGCGGGTGGGAGCTGGAGAAGGCCAGCCACGTCTCTTAGCGTGCGGTCCTTCGGCGTTTCAGCTTTCCACCTCACTCCAGTGCCACAGCAACAGCAGCGTTTGCCACTGTCGTCTCCATTACGGACTCGAATGAGCACTGAATCCTTTTTTTTTAAAGGCAGCAGCAACCCAGTGCCTGACGCACCAGTCTGCCAGCGCCTCCTCCCTCGTTTGCTGCCTGCTCGCGTCTCTGTTGAGGTGGTAGCCAAGATCTCCACACCTCTGCAAACAATTCTGCACATTTTTCTGTGTCAGCTGCTACCTGACCAGCACACGGCTGTGTATTTACAGGAGCACCCAAGGAGCCAGTCAGCCGGCCAAGAAAGCCAGCAAGAAATGGGCTGAACTCTCACAAAACTCTGCCATGCTCTTCCTGGGGCAGCTGGAGCCACCGCTGTGTACGTGCCGGTCCCTACCATCCCTGCCTCTGGCACTTCACTGGAATTTAACAGGTGACAGTCCCAGAATGATACAGCACACCCAAACGAGAACAGGAAGGCTGTAATAACAAAACCAGAAACGTGTCTGTGCTGGGAAACAGGACAGAGCCTCGGGGGGGGGAGGTCTGCAGTGTCCTGGGACTGGGCAGTAACACGCCGCTGGCGTGACAGAAGAGAAAACGCGCTGAGAAAACATCCCAAATGCTAACTGTGCCCAACTGCAGCGGTCCTGGCACAGCCAGGCTGCTGAGAAAGCACCTTGCAGAAGCAGTAATCAGCAAAAACGGGATCTTCTCAGCTCCTGACTGCTGGATCCTTGTTTCTAACCCCAGCCAGACCGGCTCTGTCTCTTCCCTGCGTCTCCCACTGAACACCCTGGCACTGACCTCCCAGCAGAGCCCCAGACTGGTAGGGCCCCGCTCTGGGTGACACAGCCATAGGCTCAAGGCAGCGTCACTGCACCAGTGAAGTCCCGCCAGGCCCCAGTGCTGTCTCTGGGACCAGAATCCGGACTGAATTGTCGGGTCTGTTTACAGCCTTTAGGCGTGGAAGCTGCTTCTGGCTACGTGTCCCTTTTGTGAGGCACGAGGCTGCCTGCACCTCACTCTCCCCTCTCTTATCGGGGTGCTTAATTCACTTTTTAAGCTTTCTCCCCCCACAGCCGGGGGGAGTAGGAACGGGGGAAGAAACAGGCGCTGGCTGGCTTCCGAGTTTGCTGCAGAGCAGCACCAGCACGTGATTCCTGGCTCCTGTTTTTCTCACTTGCTTTCATCAGAGGGTAAATTCCAGTCACTGAGCGTGAGCAAACCTCCCAAACTTTCCCCAGAAGAGCCCCGTGAGTCGGAGCAGCCAGGCAGAGAGCAAACGGACACCCCTCTCTCCTGGGCAGGGACGTGCCACACAGCCCACCTTGGCCCCGGGGTGCTCAGATGAGCGACATTCAAGGAAATCCTCTCTCTGTTTAGAAACTTGTTTCAATCCAATCAGGTTTTACCTTTTCTGCTTGGCTGAGCTCGTCCTTATTCCTGAGCTTATCCCTGTGCTTGGAATCTGGGTCAATGCTTTCATCTTCTAAAAACTGCATGTTCATATTCAAAAGCCAAGCAGCAGTGCGGTCCAGGGCATTGGGGTTCACAGGAGAAGGGGCCTACAATGAAACATACAACCATAACAAAAGAAAAACCTGTAACAGAAATGGTCATGAAGATGGAGAGAGAGAATTTCCTTCCAAGCAAGCCCTCTCCCGTGCTGCTCAAACAGCAACGAACACGTCTGAGCTACCAGAGCGGTGGGCACGACTCCTGGTCAGCACCTCGCGTTATTTCAGGTCGAACAGCCTTTGACAGGGCCAATTCCTCCCTGTGCCACCCCCACAGAACAGACGGAATATCTGGCAGTAGTTCATCTCTAGGTTTGCTCCCGTAGCTACGGGAGCTCAAGGAGCCGTGGTGTTCCACGGTCAGGGAGCTCGAGCCATGGCGGCTGCTCTCCAGTCCTACCCTGGGCAGGGACTGCAAATGGCCGTGCCTCAGTACTTTCCAACCATGATACCAGGCCGAGGAAGTGACTCCCCAGCTACTCCCCCTCCATCCTGGCTCGTTATAAACTGCAGTAAACAGCTTCTTGGCTGAACACAAGCCATCTCGATGACTTGGTTGAGGGAATTCCAGTTAACAACTCTGAGACGTCAGGGGCTTTCTCCTTCATTCAAACCTCTGGACAGTAGAGAAACCCAGCCACTGGCGATGGGTGGAACGGGAGGTTCCGTACTTGAAAGGAGTGGGGACCAGTTTAATCACCTCACTGGGGCTGGGTGCTTTCCCATCCCATCTTCCAGGCTGCTCTTTCACTTCCAGAATTTCAAATCTGACATTTTGGACTTGGCTCATGAACACCCCTTGCCATAAATCCTCACCCGGCTTGTGGCTTTCTGCTTTGTCTTGCACCTCCAGCCTGGGTGCTGTGCCCGTGGTGGCTGCTCAGCACCCTTGGCTCCAAGGAGTGGTGACCACCCGTGTTCATTCCAGCAGCGTAAAGGCCACTGGTAAAGGACATCAATGAACACTGCTCAGCCCCCTGTGCACCGGTCCTTCTGCCTCTTTCTTCCTTCTCTGAAGAAGTGAAAAAGGACATCCGGTCTGGCCTGGGACAGTTTGGAACTCAGTTCAGCAGATGAACTCACAGAAGTAGAGGAAGCTCTGCTGGCTGGCAGGAACGAGGTTCATGGACTGCTGCTAAAATGGCCACCAAACGGCACTGCTTTGCTTTCAAGCAGCATTTAATACCACCAACTACGAGCAGGCAGTTTCATTATGGTTTACAGATGCTGCCAACATCCAAGTAAAATGCCCAGATTAAGGGTAGGAGAAGCACTCTGAGGACTTCAGGTCTTGAGAGAAACTTTGAGAGGACAATATGGGCAGGCAGAGGAAAGATCTGCCAAGACAGCTTGTCCAGGGCTCTCCAAAGGTCACCTGGAGCTCACTGTTGTCTTTCTGGAAGCAACGCCCCTACCCAACAGGCTGCTGCTGCCTGCAGAGCTCTGTGCCCTCTGCACCTAACGAGCATTGATCCACGTTATACAACTGCTGCTCCTCGCCCAAGTCAGCGCTCACGAATCAACGCCGTCCGCAGAGAGCAGCTCCAGACGGGGCTGACACAGCGGCAGCCCTCGCACAAGC